TAGATATGTAAAGTTACATAGGTAATAAAATTGTGTAGAACTTAATACACATGCACAAGTAAGTACAAGTAAAACTGGAGAAATTAAATTAGATGTTGGACTATATCAATGTCACCATGCTAGTGTGATATTATATGGTAGTTTTGCAAAAGGTTACCATTGGGGCAAACCAAGAAAAGAATACAAAGGGTCTCTATTATTTCTTATAATTGCATGTAAGTCTACAGTTTGCTCAATGAAAACTTTTTAAAGATAGCTTCTTAAAGCTGTTATGCTATCTAGACATACCACATAGCAAGGAAGCTATCAGAGGGTACAGGGGTTGTACCAAAAGGACTGAGGAACCATTGTCGGTGCCAAAGATAGCTTAGTTTGAGCATCAATAAAAGTAGGGATTTCAAAGACTTGAAACCCACAAAATATGTTTAAGTCCATGACTTCATAATAATAGTTTAAAAACACACATGTGGCTGGGCGCAGTGGCTCATGCCTGTAATCCCAGCACTTTGGGAGGCCGAGGCTGGTGGATCACAAGGTCCAGAGATAGAGACCATCCTGGCCAACATGTTGAAACCCCGTCTCTACTAAAAATACAAAAATTAGCTGGGCATGGTGGTGTGTGCCTGTAGTCCCAGCTACTCAGAAGGCTGAGGCAGAAGAATCACTTGACCCTGGGAGGTGGAGATCGCACCACTGCACTCCAGCCTGGAGACAGAGCGAGACTCTGTCTCAAAAAACACACATGTGTGCGCGCACACACACACGACCTGAATTGGTCACTGCCATGGTCTGAATATGTCCCCCCAGAATTTTTGTGTTGGAAACTTAATCTCCAAAATGCCTAATTTTTGTATTTTTAGTCTTTTTTTTAGTAGATGTCTGTCAAATGAGTGAATGAACAAAGTTAAACACAGAAATCAAGTGGAAAATTAGAATAAATTTTCATAGCAGGTGATCCCTACTACGTCTGATGAAGTCTTTTCCTGTACATGTGCAGCCTAGCCTTCAGCCTAGGAACTGCCCCCTACCCCACCCACTCTGTGCTGTTCACTCTATTTTGGCACCTTGCATCACACATGCCAGCCTCTTCAGCAACACAGAACTCAAATCTGCCTGTTCAGTGGGACTGTCACTCTGCCTGGGCTCCACCTCCTTACACCATAGTAAGACAGTGCCTTGGAGTGAATGCCAGGGTATTCTTGGTACCCACTTTCTATGTTTCCTTGCTTTACATCAGTCTTTTTTTTTTTTTTTTTTTTATGGAGTTTTGCTCTTGTTGCCCAGGCTGGAGTGTAATGGTGCTATCTCAGCTCACTGCAACCTCTGCCTCCTGGGTTCAAGCAATTATCCTGCCTCAAGTAGCTGGGATTATAGATGTGCACTACCACGCCTGGCTAATTTTGTATTTTTAGTAGAGATAGGGTTTCACTGTGTTGGTCAGGCTGTTCTCAAACTCCTGACCTTAACTGATCCACCCACCTGGGCTTCCCAAAGTTCTGGGATTACAAGCATGAGCCACCGTGCCCAGCCAAAAATCACAGTCTTGAGCAGCTTGCTGCTCAGTGCCTGAAAACACATATTCACTTGCCTCATATATTTTGTCCAGCTTTATAGTTGTTTATGGCAAGAAGGGAATATCTAGTTTCATTTATTCCATCATGGCCTGAAGTGGAAGTCCAGGTTCCATTTGGACATGCTGTTGAATTTTTGGTATCTATGGAACATCCAGGTAGAAATGCCCAACAGAGAATTGGGTATTTATGTATGGAGCTTGAAAGATGATTGGGGCTGGACATTCAGATTTTGTTAGTCATGCGTTTCCAGTGGTAGTTGTAGCCAAGGGAATGGCTGTGATTGCTCAGCTACAAAATGGATAGAGAATAAATAGAAGAATCATTTCTGTTAAAAAGCCTGAGAAGCCGGGCTCAATGGCTCACGCCTGTAATCCCAACACTTTGGGAGGCCGAGGCGGGTGAATCACAAGGTCAGGAGTTCGAGACCAGCCTGACCAACATGGTGAAACTCCATCTCTACTAAAAATACAAAAAAGTTAGCAAGGTGTGGTGGCACGCACCTGTAATCTCAGCTACTCCAGAGGCTGAGGCAGGAGAATTGCTTGAACCCAGGAGGCAGAGGTTGCAGTGAGCTAAGATTGCACCACTGTACTCCAGCCTGGGCAACAGAGTGAGACTTCCTCTCAGGGGAAAACAAGCCTAAGAAAGTATAGCTAAAGAAATAAATGAAGAACAGGAAGCATCAGTGTCATAGAAGCTGCCATAAATAAACTGGCATCCATCTGGGGAAGTGGCAGATGTCAGGAGCCCAGCCTTTTCTCTGTAATACTTAACAGTCCAGAGCCCAGCTTTTCTCTGCTGTTGCTGAGGACTCAGTAAAGTCTCGCTGGTGATCACTAGAGAAGAACCTACATACCTGGGCTCCAGTACAAATCTGTAGAATTAAAGCCACACCAGTCTTTTTTTTTTTTTTTTTTTTTTTTTTGAGACGGAGTTTCACTCATGTTACCCAGGCTGGAGTGCAATGGCGCGATCTCGGCTCACCGCAACCTCCGCCTCCTGGGTTCAGGCAATTCTCCTGCCTCAGCCTCCTGAGTAGTTGGGATTACAGGCACGCACCACCATGCCCAGCTAATTTTTTGTATTTTTAGTAGAGACGGGGTTTCACCATGTTGACCAGGATGGTCTCGATCTTTTGACCTCGTGATCCACCCGCCTCAGCCTCCCAAAGTGCTGGGATTACAGGCTTGAGCCACCGCGCCCGGCCTAGCCACACCAGTCTTAATGAAGCTCAGCATTTCTTTCACACCGAATCACACATTTATGCTCCTTGCCTTCTTGGGACTTAGCTAACAAGCATGATTAGCATTTTCATAAAATTGCAAGGATACCCAAGGCCCTGGAGAGCTTAACAATTTGATGAAGGTCAGTTGTTTCTAGTCCTGCTTTATTGATTGATTGAGATGGAGTCGCATTGATTATGACTGAGATGGAGTCACACTCTGTCGCCCAGACTGGAGTATAGTAAGGCAGTCTTGGCTTACTGCAACCTCCGCCTCCTGGGTTCAGATGATTCTCCTGCCTCAGCCTCCCGAGCAGCTGAGTTGGTTGGTTTGGTTTGTTTTTGAGAGTCCCGCTCTGTCACCCAGGCTGGAGTGCAGTGGTGCAATCTCGACTCACTGCAACCTCCACTTCCCAGGCGGGTTCAAGCAGTTCTCCTGTCTCAGCCTCCTGAGTTGCTGGAACTACAGGCGCACACTATCATGCTCAGCTAATTATTTTTATTTTTAGTAAAGATAGAGTTTCACCATGTTGGTCAAGTTGTCTCCAACTCCTGACCTCAAGTCACCCCACTCAGCCTCCCAAAGTGCTGGGATTATAGGCATGAGCCACTGCGCCAAGCCCAGTTTTTATATTTTTTAGTAGAAATGAGGTTTCACCATGTTGACCAGGCTGGTCTTGAACCTCTGACCTCAGGTGATCCACCCCACCCACCTTGGCCTCCCAAAGTGCTGGGATTACAGGTGTGAGCCACTGTGTCTGGCCTTGGTCCTACTTTCTAGTTGTCTAGAGACTATAGGGTTTCAGACTTGGAAGTTGCTCTAAGTCATCTACTTGGCTCCCTTGCTTTTTAGGTGGGAAAAATGACACTCATAAATGAGAGGGCTTGAACTAGGTATAAAAAAACCAATTGAAGCTGGCTTACATTATCAGGGATATCTGATGGCATTCAAAGGGCAAAGATAAAGCTGAGCTTTGAGAGTAGACTAGAGCCATGATCTGCAGTGCTGTAGAGAAACTGGATGCCCCTTGCCACTGCCCTTTTCTCTGCTTTTTTCATTCTTCTCTCATTGTAGATCAGCTTCTCCTGTCTTGCCTCCTTCTGTGCCCCAGCCTGGGGAAAATGATAACCAGAGGCTATTCCTGAGTTTATAGCTTAGGAAAAAGGCCACTCATTCCCCACCATCCAGGAATGAGGCCAACCTGATTCTAGAATTGCAACTCCTGTTCTCCTGGAAAAGGTCTTGATGGCCCCATTAGAACCATCCAGAGTTCAGTCAGTTGCAGTCAAGGGGTCGGGGATCCTTTGTTCTACACATACATCTGCAGGGAAGCCTACCTCCGTAATCATGTGATATACATCACTGGTAGAGAAGAAGAGCTTTCCAGAAAAAAACAAGTACGTAGATGGCTGGGCAGCCAACCCATAGGTGTTCAGAATAACCAATAACTGCTCAGGATAACCAATGGCAGAGCCAGGACCAAAACCCACAGCATCTGACTCAGTAGTAGTCCTTTCCTGGGGCTGCCCCACTTGGGGAAACAGTAATTACTTGATCTGGGAACAAGCAGAGACAGACAGACGGACAGTCACTGCCTCAGTTCTCATTCCTATAAGTATGAGGAGATAGGAGTCTCTTCCTTGAGAGTACAGGGGATCCAGAGCTCTAGTACTCTAACAGCCAAAGGTGGGTTCCCTCTTAGGAATACAGACTTGTCTAGCTGCAAGTCACAGAAACCCAAATCAAACCAGCTTGAGCAAAAGGGGGATTTAGTAGAAGGCCATTGGGATATCCTACAAAATTGAAAGAAGCACTGTAGATTCCAAGTCATCTTTAAGAATCTGGAATCAGTACTACAAGGACACACACACATGCGTTCACCTTTTTTTCTTCCTCTTTTTAAAGTGTCATCTTTCTGTTTGGCCTTTGTATCACAGGGTTTTCTCTACAAGGTGGGGAACCTGGAAGTTCTGGAGTCATATCCTTATAGCATCTGACCATAGAGAAAAGAGAGTCTTCCCTGCTAATTCCTGGTGGAAAACTCTAGGATAGGATTCAGTTTGAAGGGATAGAGTCCTCTGACTGGCTGGGCCTTGTTTACTTGCTCACCCTTGGGCTCAGAAAATGGCAATGGGGTATTTTAAGAAAGGAACTGGTAAGTAGGAGAGATAGAAACCTTTTTTGTTTTGTGTTTGTCTCCTAGGTGACCATGGAGGCTGGCGGCCTCCCCTTGGAGCTATGGCGCATGATCTTAGCCTACCTGCACCTTCCTGACCTGGGCCGCTGCAGCCTGGTATGCAGGGCCTGGTATGAACTGATCCTCAGTCTTGACAGTACCCGCTGGCGGCAGCTGTGTCTGGGTTGCACCAAGTGCCGCCATCCCAACTGGCCCAACCAGCCAGATGTGGAGCCTGAGTCTTGGAGAGAAGCCTTCAAGCAGCATTACCTTGCCTCCAAGACATGGACCAAGAATGCCTTGGACTTGGAGTCTTCCGTCTGCTTTTCTCTTTTCCGCCGGAGGAGGGAACGACGTACCCTGAGTGTTGGGCCAGGCCATGAGTTTGACAGCCTGGGCAGTGCCTTGGCCATGGCCAGCCTGTATGACCGAATCGTGCTCTTCCCAGGTGTGTACGAAGAGCAAGGTGAAATCGTCCTAAAAGTGCCCGTGGAGATTGTGGGGCATGGGAAGCTGGGTGAAGTGGCCCTGCTAGCCAGCATTGATCAGCACTGCTCAACCACACGCCTGTGCAACCTCGTCTTCATGCCAGCCTGGTTCTCACCCTTCATGTATAAGGTGGGTGTCCACATCAATAGATGGCGTTTCTAGTCCTGACCCCAGAGGCTTGGACTTCTTTCTGGGTTTGTAATCCCTTTTTTTGTTGGAATCGAAAGTTAGGAGTTAGTATTAGGCTCATACTCCTCTGAGTGCTGAACCAGTTGAAAAATAGGCACATGATCAGCATAGTTCCGAATTCTGCTTTATTCCTGGTAAAGCTATATTTAAAAATGTGGCTTGGGCTTGGAGCCAGTATTCTTTCCCACCTCTTCCCTTTCCAAGTGGACTAACTGGAGCCACCAGTGGCATGCCACTTGGTGACAGGAAGCAGAGAGCACATGAACTGCTCATGGAGGCATGCTCAGAGCGAGAGTCACAGAGGAGAAAGGCTATGCAGGGCCATGTTACCCTCAGCATGTGAGTCCTACCTTGTGTGGGATCAAGGAAGGTCAGGCTTTTACCATGATTTGCTCATTCTCAAGGGCGATGATGAGAAGGTCAGGAAATATTTGTCCAACACATTCCTTCCGTGAATGTAGAACAGAAGATGGTTCATAGTAAAGCATGTATCCAGGTGTTAGTAGTTCTTGGCAGAACAGTCTATAGCTTATACATTGCCTAGAAACTTGGATTATGTAGGTGGTCAATAAAAAGTATATTGCTTTCCTGCCTGCTCATAAAAAAATAAAAGATTTGGCCGGGTGCGGTGGCTCATGCCTGTAATCCCAGCACTTTGGGAGGCCGAGGCAGGCGGATCATGAGATCAAGAGATGGAGACCATCCTGGCCAACATGGGGAAACCCCATCTCTACTAAAAATACAAAAATTGGCTGGGTGTGATGATGCATGCCTGTGATCCCAGCTACTCAGGAGGCTGAGGCAGGGGAATTGCTTGAACCCGGGAGGCAGAGGTTGCAGTGAGCCAAGATCGTGTCATTGCACTCTAGTTTGGTGACAGAGCAAGACTCCATCTCAAAAAAATAAAAGTTTTTAAAAGTATATTGCCATTATTATTACCAATAGCAACTTAATTGTCTCTCATGTTTGTAATGATTATGATACCACTAGTCATTTCTGACAGTCATAGTGTGTGCATGGCACCTGCTTTATAACCATTATCTCATGGATTCCTCTCCGCACGCCTATAAGATAGGTAATGTCGTCTGATTTCTTTTTCTTTCTTTTTTTAAAAGATGGGGTTTCACCATGATGGCCAGGCTGGTCTTGAACTCCTGACCTCAGGTGATCCACCCACCTTGGCCTTCCAAAGTGCTGGGATTACAGGCGTGAGCCTCTGCACCCGGCCATCGTCTGATTTTATAGTTGAGGAAACAGGCTCAGCAAAATTAAGTGACATATCGAGGGTCTCAGACTCAATAAGATCCAAAGCCTATTCATAATCTAGGTGGCTTTCCATCTGTGACCTCACTGGACCCTCCACAGCAAACATTTGTAGTAGACAAAGTAGATGTGGTATGCCTGTTGTGCAAATGAGGGATACTGAAGGTCAGAGATGGCAAGTAACTTTCTCAAGTGGTTAGATCTCAAATTCAGGCTTCCTCATCTAGATGCTTATAAAATTACATCATACTATGTTACCTGAAAGCTTGAAAGCCTTTGTTTTTGCCCTAGAGTATTTCAGAAGAATTGATTAATGTCTCTGGTGCTGGTCTGCAGACCCAGAAGGAGAATTTGTTTCTAGAAAGGAGCAATGCTCCAGACCCTTCCCATTTTACAATAAATTTATTCTTCAAGTAATATTTTGACTTTAGCCTCTATTTCTCCCTCAGAAGTACAGCCACAGATCCTTACAGGATGGGGCCTGGCCTTGGACTCATTTGTGGCCTGCCCTCTGGCTTAGTGCTTAGCGTAAGTTAGTGTTCAGTCCTGGTTGTTTTCAAACTAAAAGAGGCATGGGGGCCTGGGGTGACCTTGCCTGAAAAATGCAAAGGCCAAGGCGATTTCACAGCAGTTTTCAGTGACTCCCATGGAGAACTTTAGCAGTGGCCCTGCATCTCCAGAGAGCTGGCTTGTGTCTTTAGAGGGAAAATGGATTTCAATAGCAAGGAAAAATTAGGTTAGCCATAAGGAAGAACTTAGAGAAGTTAAGGGGGCTTAAATTCTGGGACAATCTATCAAAGATGGTCACTACTAGAGGATTTTAAAAATTGTTCAAGGGGTAGGTATGTCTGGGCTATTAAATGGAATCATGAGATACTCCCTCATTTTAACGGTTCAGATACATCTGATAAAACTTGTGAAATCCAGAAGAAGTTCTTTTTCAGGAATAGACTGTAAGTGGGCCTCATAAGACTGTTTCTCAGTTAGGCCCAGAGAGCCTAGGGGCCCAAATGAATCAGGCGGGAGAGTTTAGCACTTCCCCATCCCCACCCCAGACTTGAGGACACTCTGTTCCTTGTGTCCCTGACCCCAGATGATAATAACTGACCTCTTTTTTTTTTTTTTTTTTTTTTTTGAGACAAAGTCTTGCTCCATCGCTCAGGCTGGAGTGCAGTGGTTCTTTCTCGGCTCACTGCAGCCTTCGCCTTCGCCTTCGCCTCCTGGGTTCAAGCAATTCTCCTACCTCAGTCTCCCAAGTAGCTGGGACCACAGGTGCACACTGCCATGCTCAGCTAATTTTTTATGTTTTAGTAGAGACAGGGTTTCACCTTATTGCCCAAGCTGGTCTTGAACTCCTGAGCTCACATAATCCACCCACCTCCGCCTCCCAAAGTGCTGGGGTTACAGACATGAGCCACTGTGCCTGGCCAGTAATAATTGACTTTTATTGAGTGCCAAGTTTGTGCCTGGTATGGTGCTTTGTGAACTAGTGAGCCCCATGCTGCAGACAAGGAAACAGACTTAAAGAGGTAAAGTCATTTGTCCAAGATAATACATGCAGTCAACCCCTAGAGCCCATGCTTTTTTTTTTTTTTTTTTTTTGCTTTTTTTTTCTCCGACACTGAGTCACACCTCCAGCCTGGAGTGCAATGGTGCAATCTCAGCTCACTGCAACCTCTGCTTCCTAGGCCCGAGCTATTCTCATGCCTCAACCTCTTGAGTAGCTGTGACTACAGGCGCATGCCACCATCCCTGGCTAATTTTTGTATTTTTAGTGAAGATGAGGTTTCATCATGTTGACCAGACTGGTCTCAAACTCCTGACCTCAAGTGAATCCGCCCATCTCAACCTTCCAAAGTGCTGGGATCACAAGAATGAGACACCACACCTGGCAGATCCCATGCGTTTAACCACTGTTCAATACTTCCTGACGACGGCAGCGTACCTTGCCCCTCTCTTTAGAGGCATACTTTGCTGTGCACCACATGTATCAGTTGTCACACAGTCAGGACTCTTTCCCAGCACATGTGGCCAGGCCTCTGTCACTGCCTGTCCCAGCCCAGGTGCATGGCTTGAGACTTGAGGTTTTAGGAAGAGTCACGCTGCAGTGTGAACTTCTCTGCCATCATCCACTTGTCTCCCTTCCTTTGAGATGAGAAGGATGGAGGTGTGGGCAGCTCCGGTTTTCCTCCCTCTCTGATGCAGAGCAGCTTCCCAGTTCCTTTTGATGACAGCTGACATCCGTGCCCCGGTGGGGAGGGGAAGATGATCAGCAGAACAAATAGCCTTTCCATGTTCTACCCTCCTTAAAGGGCAGCGAGAGTGCAAAACAAATCTCATCCCTCTCAACAGCCGTTTTCTTCTTTTCATTCCACAGACAACAGCAGGTCATGTTCAGTTTGACAACTGCAACTTTGAGAATGGGCACATCCAGGTCCGTGGCCCGGGGACTTGCCAAGTGAAGTTTTGTACCTTCAAAAACACCCATGTCTTCCTACACAACGTGCCCCTGTGTGTCCTGGAAAACTGTGAATTTGTGGGCAGCGAAAACAACTCTGTGACTGTTGAAGGTCACCCATCTGCAGATAAGAACTGGGCCTACAAGTATTTGCTAGGGCTTATCAAGTCCACACCCACTTTTCTCCCCACAGAGGACTCTGACTTTTTAATGTCCCTGGACCTAGAGAGCCGGGACCAAGCCTGGAGCCCACAGACCTGTGACATTGTTATCGAGGGCAGCCAGAGCCCTACCAGCGCAGCCTCCAGCTCCCCAAAGCCAGCCTCCAAGGTTGGCTCACAGGAGGCAGAGGTGGGTAGTGATGGCGAAAGGGGGGCCCAGACCCCAGACAGCAGCGATGGAGGCCTGAGTCCCAGCGGTGAGGATGAAGATGAGGACCAGCTGATGTACAGACTATCCTACCAAGTACAGGGCCCACGCCCTGTACTAGGGGGCTCCTTTCTGGGCCCACCTCTACCAGGAGCATCCATTCAGCTGCCCAGCTGCCTCGTGCTGAACTCACTGCAGCAGGAGTTGCAGAAGGACAAGGAGGCCATGGCACTAGCCAACTCTGTGCAGGGCTGCCTCATCCGCAAGTGCCTCTTCCGGGATGGGAAGGGAGGTGTCTTTGTCTGCTCCTACGGCAGAGCCAAGATGGAAGGAAACATCTTCCGGAACCTGACTTACGCAGTGCGGTGTATACATAATAGCAAGGTGCTGTCATGACTTTACATTGGTGAGGGGGGTCCTGTGGCTATATGTAGGAAGGGTTTGATGGGGCTATTTTGCATTTAAAAAATAATTTTCTTTGAACTTATTCACACACACTTGACATCATGTCCATCATCTGATTTGGAAAGGGTAAAAACAGTTTTCCTCATTTCACAGAAAGGCCCAGAGAGAGAAGGTGGCTTACTCAGGGTCACATAGCAATTTAGGCAGAATTGAGACTAGAAACTTGCGTCTTCTGCCTCTCTTGACTATGTCATGCTGCTGCTCACACATCTCACCCATGTCGGAGTAGGAGAAACAAAGTATTTTTCCTGGATAAGAGAAAATTCAGGGAAATATGATTACTACCTTCACGCCAAACCTGAGAGAGGTTGTTGGGAAGGCTTCCCAGAAGAAGAAACCTCTATGCTGGGTAGAATGAGTAGAAGGTCCAGGAAAAACTGGACACGTGATGAGAAGGGGGTGGAGAGTGAAGGTGTCCCAGCAGCAGGAACATCCTATGCCAGGGCCTGGGAGTGAGGTTGAACCATGCAGCAGGGGTAGGTTGAAGGATGAGGCTGGGGGTGAGCAAAAGCTACCCTGCCCAGGCCTTGAGACATTTGGACTTTATGCTAAGAACAGTCCTTCTAGCCACTGCTGTAATCAACATCTTGTATATGCTGGCACTTAGGGCATCACAGAACAATCTGCAAATCTGTAAATGGTTGATGACAGGAAGGCCTTCTGAAGGGAAAGATAGCCCTTGCAGAAGAAAGCATGGCATAGCACCTAGGGTTGAGTCTCACCTCTCCACTAATTCACTGTGAACATTACCTTTACTTCCGTAAAATAGAAATAAGCATTCCTGCTTTTCTTCTCTCACTGGTTGTTGGAGGGTCCCATGCCATAATACTGGTGGAAGTCCTCAGTAAACTAAAGAACATTGTACAAAGGTCATTTTTGAGTGTTGCAGGCTTCTAGAATGGCTAATAGCAATTGCATTTTAATTAATTTAAATTTAATTTTGTTTTACCCAGCCCACTTCCAAAGAGAATTTCAAATGGTGTTACTTTGTAAGCATAATGCAAGACTGCTGTACACAGAATAACAGAAAATGGCCAAGTAAAAAGGGAAAGGTGATAGCTTTGCTGTCATGAGTACCATGATGAAAGGGTCTGGTTCAAGCCCTCAAGGAGGGCGTTCTTCCTTGGCATAATTATTGAGAATATGGCTTTCTAGTTAAATTGTGGCTCTGCCCCTTAAGTCCTGTGGACTAATGTTACCACCTTTCTCCAAGGCATGATGAGGATTAGCTAAGGTCACATATATGAAGTGCTTAGCAATGTGCCTGGTATATAGCAAGTGCTTGATAAATGTTTTAATTAATTAATTTTTTTAAAACTACTACAGTCCAGTTTGGGAGGCTCTATGGTAGAGGTAAACCATGGATGGCATAGGAAAGGGAGTACCTGACCCAGTGTCTAGGAACCAGAGAAGGTTTCTTGGAGGAACAGTGCCTGGACTGAGCTGCTCAAGAATAAGGGTTGGCAGGGTGAAGCCATGCGGCAAAGGAGGTGTGTGTGAAGGCCCAGAAGTAAGGGAAGACGCGCCATTTCAAGCAAGGCCTTGGTCCTTGCACCTCCGCAGAAGGCTTTCACCTGGCTCTGCCCTCTGGAACATCCCAGATGCTTATTTGGCAGATGCTCAAATGCCTTACATAAAATGGCAAAGGCTGGCAGGAGGAGCCTGGTTGCTTGAGGCTCCAAAAAGAAAAGTGTCACCGACTGATTTTCTTCTTTATGTGTCCTACATTTCAGTTGGAAATCAGTTAACGCATGTAGGACAGTAGAGACTGAGGTCAGTAGTATTTTGTTTAGAAATGGGCACACCTCTTCTTTTGCCTGGTCTAGTTAGCGGGGACTGGTCTAGTTAGGAGCTAAGCCCATTTGAATCATAGTGATGATATGATCATCCTTAGCGTCCCGCAGGCTTCAGATCCCTCCAGTTACCTTGTGCTAGTTTTCTCCACTTCAGGTCATCCTTTGCACCCACTCCTCAGAGAGGTGATCTCCCCCTGCTCTCGCCCTCCCCAGCAGTAGACTACCGTTATTTGTCAGCCTGCATGATGGCAGGGTTTCTCTCTTGTCCTGGGTCATCCTTCGTCTAGGTAGGTACTGTGTCTGTGGTCTTGAGAGTAGGACTTTTTCAGCGACCCTGCCTCCACCCCGCCTCCACCCCCAGCACTAGGGGAGCTCTGATGATCTGGGCCTAAGATACTTTCCTCCCACCACCCCCAGAGGTAGTTCTTTCCCTGTTCCCCCATGTGTAAGATTTGTTTTATAAGGAAAATTAGGGAGAGCCGGACGCAGTGGCTCACGCCCATAATCCCAGCACTTTGGGAGGCTGAGGCGGGTGGATCACAAGGTCAGGAGTTCAAGACCAGCCCAACAAACATGATGAAACCCATCTGTACTAAAAATACAAAAATTAGCCTGGCGTGCCTGTAATCCCAGCTACTACTCAGGAGGCTGAGGCAGGAGAATCACTTGAACCTGGGAGGCGGAGGTTGCAGTGAGCCGAGATCACACCACTGCACTCCAGCCTGGGTGACAGAGTAAGACTTCAAAGAAAGAAAGAAAAAGAGAAGAAAGAGGGAGGGAGGGAGGCACGCACGCATGCAGGCATGCACACACACATGAGGGGTTGATGCCTCTCTCACTTATGCCCCCCAGCCTGCATCAGGAGGGCACTGTCTCCAGTCTCTGATCTGCCCCCAGTCTTTCTCCATGAGCACCTAGTGAAGTCCACAGAGAAGTGAGCAGATGCACCTACTCCCAGGGTTTCTGTACTCACAGTGAGGTTGCAGTGAGCTGAGATCACAGTAGTTCACAGCTGGTCTTTAACAATGCATCAGAAATGTTAGCTGAGTTCTCCTTACTGGCGTGCGTGGCCCCAGGAGCCCTGCATTCTGCAGGCAGGTGCTCAGGCCTCATCTCCTTGGAGGCACCTACCTTTCTGTGGCATTCAGGCTAGCTGGTTGTCCTGCAGCCTCAGCTCTGATGGGTTCCAGAAAGGTTATGTTTGTGTATATTATCTTCTTTCTACTTCCTTCATCCTAATCAGAAGCTGAAACCTTACAATTTATGCTCCTGTTCTACTTCAGTCTTCACAGAATTTTATCCTAATGCAATATATTGGTAGTAGTACACAATTTATAATAATGTATTTTATTATTGATCTATAATTGTTTAAGACAGCATAGATAGATGTATTACAGATTTTTTATATACTGTCATCCTTTGGTATCCATGAGGGCTTGGTTCCAGGATACCAAAATCCACAGATGCTCAAAAGCCTTATATAAAATGGTGTAGTATTTGCACATAACCTGCACATATCCTCCCATATTTCAGTCATCTCTAATTGTAATACCCAATACAATGTAAATGCTATGTAAATAGTTTTTATACTGGGTTTTTAAATTCAATTTTATTTTTGTAACAGGATCTCACTCTGTCACACAGGCTGGAGTGCAGTGGTGCAATCTTGGCTCACTGCAACCTCTGCCTCCCTGATTCAAGCAATTCTCCTGCCTCAGCCTCCTGAGTAGCTGAGACTACAGGAACCCACCACCATGCCCAGCTAATTTTTGTATTTTCAGTAGAGACAGGGTTTTGCCATGTTTTCCAGGCTGGTCTTGAACTCCTGATCTTAAATGATCTGCCTGCGTCAGTTTCCCAAAGTGCTGGGATTACAAGAGTGAGTCATTGTGTCTGGCCTGTTTTTTTTTTTTAATAATGTTTATTATGATGATGATTATTTTTTAATAATGTATATTCAGTCTACAGTTGGTTGAATCCCTGGATGTGGAGCCCACAGATATGGGGAGGCAACTGTGCTTATTAAATATAAAAAGAAAATGTAATTGGAAATATATCCCTTTAGTAGCAGGTTGCTGGCTTATGGCACCTTGTTTGAAGGAGGTTTTCTTATACCAGCATTTGTAATCATCCCTTAGTTTAGAGGCTCAGTAATTACCACCCCAGGATGATACACCATGAAAGATTCAGGATGTGCAAGAACAGGCCTTTGTTTTATAAAGCAGAAGGGAAGGTGGGAGAGGAGAACCTGTGTGGTACCTTACTCTCCATGCTGTCTCAGACAGGTGGATTTTAATGAAGGTGCATTGGAAGTGGTGGATCTGGAACTTTATTTCATTAAAAGTAGCTGCCCCTGCCAGGTGTGGTACCTCACGCCTGTAATCCCAGCACTTTGGGAGGCTGAGGCGGGTGGATCACAAAGTCAGGCAATCGAGACCAACCTGGCCAACATGGTGAAACCCTGACCCCATCTCTACTAAAAATACAAAAAAAATAGCTGGGTGTGGTGGTGCATGCCTGTAGTCCCAGCTACTTGGGAGGCTGAGACAGGAATGGCTTGGACCCGGGAGGCGGAGGTTGCAGTGAGCTGAGATCACACCACTTGCAACAGAGCAAGACTCCATCTCACAAATAAATAAATAAATAAATAAATAAAAATAAAAACAAAAACAAAAAAGGTAGCTGCACCCTTGACCCCTAGGGAAATCTTCATGCAACCTTAGTGCATATAGAGTCTGAAGACCACTAAATCCTATGTTCCCCTAAGTATCCTTTCTGCCCCATCATCCAGATATGCTGCTTGCAAGTTCTGGGCATGGAGCACAGGGCCAAGCTTTGATCCAGGTTTTAGTTAGAGGACTAATGTGGGCCAGGCACGGTGGTTCACCTGTAATGCTTCAGTTTGGGAGGATCGCTTGAGCCCAAGAGTTCCAGACCAGCCTGGGCAACACAGTGAGACTCCATCTCTATAAAAAATACAAAAATGAAAAACAAAATTATTCCAGGCCACCTGCATAGTAAAAATAAAAATAAACAAAAATACAAAATTAGCCTGTAGTCCCAGCTACTCGGGAGGCTGAGGTGGGAGGATCACTTGAGCCTGGGAGGTGGAAGCTGCAGAGAGCTGAGATCACACCACTGCACTCCAGCCTGGGTGACAGAGCAAGACCTGTCTCAAAAAAAAAAAAAAAAAAAACACAATGTGAGGCTGGTAAGGAGGCTGCAGGGCAAAGCCAGGTGGGAACTGGAGATGACTGTGTCCTGGGAGCACACTGTGGTCGCGTGGCTGTGCCAGCATTGAGGCGTTTCTCTCACCTGCAGGGTAAACTGCATGGATCAGGTGGTAGGGAAAAGACTCAGGTGTTCCCCCAGGGGTTTCTGAAAATATCTTTGTGACAGGAAAATAAATGTCTTTCTCTTTTCTGCTTAGATCGTCATGCTCAGGAATGACATTTACCGCTGCCGAGCATCAGGCATCTTTCTTCGCTTGGAGGGTGGTGGCTTGATTGCCGGCAACAACATTTACCACAATGCAGAGGCTGGCGTAGACATCCGGAAGAAGTCCAACCCACTCATACTGGTACTGTTCTTTGTGTTCCCTCCCTGTTCAGAGTGCCTCTTGGTTTTCAGAAACCTTTACTGAGGACATTTAAATACAGGTTGCCCTGTATTTATGTGCTTCCTGTTTGCGGGTGGCTCCTGCTCTGTCTTCTGTGTCTTCTTGTGACTCTGTCTGTCCTTCTCTGTATTAGCAGTAAATTTGGACAAGTCATTATCTGGCCATCTCCCCATTAATAAAGAGGAGAACCAGAAAGACAGGGAAACCTCACAGGGCCCTCAGCCCTCATGTGCTGTGGTTGGCTTTGAGTCTGATAAGGATAAAGAGAATGATATCTGTCCTAAAGACGCTTGGATTCAAAAACAAACAGAAACAACATCAGCGAACCCCAAGTTAGTTTATTCGTTTGTGTAAAAGGACATTTAGGATATTTAGTTCTCAAGATTATTTTTTTCATGGATATTGTGAGGCCATATTGAGTCTGATTTTCTACCAGTGGGAAAACCACTTAAAATCCTAGAATATATGGCCAGTGACGTTAGAGACCAGATCTTTTTCTGCTCTGGCTTTTCCTGAGAGGCAGGTTTGGGGGTTGCGGGTTTTTTGTTTTGTTTTTGCACAGATTTATGGGGTATGGGAGAAATTTTGTTACATGTATACTGAGAGACAGATTTCCCACAAGTTGGGAAACGTAACAGAATTTTTATGGGCTTGTAAAAATAGTAGCCACCATTAATGCATGATGCTTATTATACGCCAGATACTTTTCTAAGCACTTAGTAGATATTTACGTATCATTTAATGCTTACAGAATCCTGTGAAGAATTATTATTATCCCTATTTTGTAGTAAAGACATAGAGCACAAAGAGGCAAAGGATCCTGCCCAAAGTCCTATACCTAGTGACAGAGCTGGGATTCGAATCCAGGCAGTCTGACGCAGGGTTGATGTCTAAACCAATTTTATCTTGACTGCCCATGAAGATACAGAGAAAAGGCTGGGCACAGTGGCTTACGCCTGTAATCCCAGAACTTTGGGATGTCAAGGCAGGCGGATTACTTGAGTCCAGGAGTTTGAGACCAGCCTGGGCGACAGAGCAAGACCTTGTCTCTACAAAAAAAAAAAAATTTTTTGAGACAGAATCTTGCTCTGTCACCCAGGCTGAATTGCAGTGGCACAATCTCGGCTCACTGCAACCTCTGCCCCCCAGATTCAAGTGATTTTCCTGCCTCAGCCTCCTGAGTAGCTGGGATTGCAGGCATGTGCCAACCAAGCCTGACTAATTTTTGTATTTTTAGTAAAGATAGGGTTTCCATGTTGGTCAGGCTGGTCTCAAACTCCTGAGGTCAGACAATCTGCCTGCCTTGGCCTCCCAAAGTGCTGGGATTATAGGAGTGAGCCACCACACCCGGTCCTTCTACAAAAAAAATTTAATTAACTAGGCATGGCAGCTCACACCTGTAGTGCCAGATACTTGAGAGGCTGAGGTGGGAGGATTGCTTGAGCCTAGGAGGTTGTGGCTGCAGTGAGCCATGATTGTGCCACTGCACTCAAGCCTAGGCAACAGAGCAAGACCCTGTCTCAAAAAAAAACAAAAAGAAAATACACACAGCTAGCCAGTATCTTCTGCCAATCCCTTCCCCTCACTGTGTTTCTGCCATACAGCTGGTAGTTCATGCATGGCCTTGGATTAGGAAATTATTGCCACTCTGGCTAGAGAGATGAGAGGTGTCTGCCTTTCCAAGGACAGAGGGACAGCAGGTAGAAGAGGGAAGGGAGTGGTACATTGTAGTCCTGGCGTTGTGAGAGGGTGTAGGGATGGAAACGCCGCTACATATTCCCTTCGGAGCTTTTCAGCCCTGTGAGGGACTTCTCTTAGGCAGTGGTTGCCCTGATGAGCCTACTGAATCCTTCAGGAGAAATCTGGAAGGAGTAAGAATAAGGAGAATTTGCGCACAAAACACTTGAAAGCCAACTAGAATTTTATTTCTGTAAAATCGTTTTGGAAGAGATGCAGCTAACTTCCCAACGTACAGAGTATAGAATCAGTTGTCAGCTATAAATTAACAATTAGAGTGAGATAATTTTATTATTATTCTAATCTAAAAACATTAAGTCACTGTGCAAAAGCAACTAACTAGAATGGGAAAGAGAAAAACTAGGTTCCAGATCTGGCTCTTCCGCAGACATACTATATAATCCTGGGCCTGTTTCCCCATTCACACGAAGAGATATTAGAAATGAATATCTTGCCAGGTGTGGTGGCCCCCGTCTGCAATCCCAACACTTCAGGAGGCCAAAATGGGAGGATCACTGGAAGCCAGGAGTTTAAGACCAGCCTAGGCAATGAAGCAAAACCCCGTCTCTCCCAAAAACAAAAAAGAATATCGCTAGGCATCCTGGCGATGCCTAAAACCTTATGCCCCATGGGACAACTTGGCCCCCCGGTGTCTGCATCCTTGCACTGGCCTTCCCTGAATGAGAAAGGACTAGAAGCAAATGACTCTGACCCCTCTCTGGATATGGCCCCTTTAGGATGGCACTTGGCCAACATTTGTTTGCACTGGGATGTTGCCCCTCCCTAAGAGGTGGCCTCCCTGGACCCCAGAAGGTATGGCCTGGCCAAATGTTTGTGTGTTTGGGGGACTCATTAGAGGCTCCGAAACTTTCAGTAGCCTGCCTTGCAGGTGAAGAGTGAGAGCCCTCCTAAGAGGCTGGGCAGTGAAGACTCCAAACTTCATAGTCTTCCTTATAGGTTTTGATGTGTGTACTGGTGCGGGAAGGGCAGGGCACCAGCATGGCCCGTTCCGTTTGTCATGGGCTAGGGATCTTACAGTGACATCATTTTCTCCACTGTGTTCATCCTGCCTTGGCTGTGTAGGCGGCAGTTGGGCACTCTTGCTTCTTGCTGGCATGTCTGATCCAGCTTCTGTGGTGTCTCATTTTCACTTGCAGTGTAACCAGATCCACCATGGCCTTCGCTCTGGCATTGTCGTCCTTGGCAATGGGAAAGGCATCATCCGGAACAATCAAATCTTTTCCAATAAGGAGGCTGGCATTTACATCCTGTACCATGGAAATCCCGTCGTGAGGTGTGTGCTGCTGTTTCCCTCCTTCATCTTCGTTAACCTCCTCCCTGTCTTCCCTCCATTTGAAAACACTATTTATGGAAACAACTGTACAAGCAGAGAAGAGACTTCACTATCATCCCACCCCAGTAACACAGCTGCTTTTGTGTTTATATGCCCTTCCAGTTAACTCTGTGTAGGCATGCTATTCGGCAGTCACTACTGAACTCGTCTAACACGGGCAGACTCTGCTCCCTGGGAGCTTACTCTATCCTGGAGAAATGGACACAGAAGTACTCCAAGGCAGGGATGGAACAGAGAGTTCAACTCACCTAACAATTTCAGTTAGTTGATAGTGGTGACTGGGGATGCTGTGTGAACATCCTGGCGCTGTACCTAGCCTCAGCATGAAAGCGTGCTGTGGTCAGGGACTGATAGAAGTGATAGGTGGGAAGCAGCAGTGGCAGTCCTGGGACCCTGTCTGCCATCCCAGCTCTAGTGTGGGCAGACTGTGATAATGCTGTCAAGAGTGGTACCACAAGGACAGACTCATTCTGACTAGGAGGAGGTCTGACTAGGAAGTCCTCATTTAGGAGGTAGCATCAGAGTTGGATGTTAGAATATGGGTAAGACTTGGACTCGTGGAGATGGAGGTAGGGAGGGGTTGGTGGATGATCCTAGTAAAAGGAACAAAGGCAGAAGAGCACAGCAGATTGAGGAGTTAGCAGACCATCCACTGTGGCTTCAGAAAAAATCTGACATGGTGTGACAATGGTATAGAATATTTTTAATTGGGATGGTCCCAGAATATCTTGAGCCCTTTGGTCACTGCAGCATGACCCTTAATGTCCTTGTGGCAGACCGTCTGTGCCACACAGCAGAGTGGAAAGGAATGATGGAAAGAAAGGGTTGGGCCAGGTGAGGAAGACCTTATGTAGACCAAGCTGAGGCAGGGAATCCTATTCTTTCTACACAGCAGGGACTCATTAAAGGCTCTGAGCAGAAGACTCACACGGTTATGTCCATGCTTTAGAATAGCTGGTCTTAATGGGCACAAATATATTCAGAGCATTTTTCACCCCCTGTATTATTCCATAGGTACTTTTTTCCATGTTGTTGCATGGCCTTTGTATTTATCACTTTGGAAAGTTTCGTCACATTCCAGTATTTTGATAACTCCATAATTTTTGAACCAGACCTAATTGCTGGTTCAAAAATTATGGAATATAATCCTGTTTTTCACTGTTACAGCTTACTAAAAACAATTAGTGGTCACAGAGCTGCATTATTGCCTTACCAGAAGAGTGTGTATTTGTATGTATGTGTGCTGTTCATTTAACACACATTCCAGCTACTCTGTATAAGGGGGCAGTTATATACAACCTGTGCAGGAACAGCCCCTGCTCCATGAGGTTTACAGTCTCATGCCCGAGACTCATACTCACACAGCCATGATGGAAGACTCACCAAAATGAGCACTTTAGTAGAGGTTCATGCAGACTGCCCGGAGGGGCTCAGCCGTGATCTCAGCTGAGCATGTCAGGGAGCTGACATTCAAGTTGTACTTGAAAGATAAATAGGATTCTATTGGCAGGGAAAAGGCATTCTGGGTCAGAGGCAGTGAAATTCAGGGTATGTCTGAGAAAATGGTGAGAAATGTGGTGTGTCCAGGCGTGAGATGCCAGAGGGATAGTGCAAAGGCAGGTTGCTGCTGGATGCCAGAGGACCTTGAATGCCAAGCGTGATAGGCAGAATAATGGCCCCAAGGATATCCATGTCCTAGGCCCTGAAACCTGTGCATATGTTGCCTTACAAGGCAGGAGGAACTTTGCAGATGTGAGTGAGTGAAGGACCTTGGAGAAAGATGAGGGGAGATTATTTTGGATTATACGGGTAGGCCCAGTGTAACCACAAGACCCTTATGAGAAGGAAGCAGGAGAATCAGATTAAGGGAGCAGGGGCCAGTCGCGGTGGCTCATGCTTGTAATCTCAACACTTTGGAAGGCCGAGGCGGGCGGATCATTTGAGGTAAGGAATTTGAGACCAGCCTGGCCAACATGGGGAAACCTTGTCTCTACTAAAAATACAAAAATTAGCTGGGCGTGATGGTGGGCATCTGTAATCCCAGCTACTCAGGAGGCTAAGGCAGGAGAATGACTTGAACCTGGGAGGCGGAGGTTGCAGTGAGCCGGGATCGCACCATTGCACTCTAGCCTGGGAAACAAGAGCAAAACGTTGTCTCAAATAAATAAATAATAATAAAATAAAATAAATAAGAGAGCAGGAGATGTGAGGACAGAAGCAGAGGTCAAAATGATTGAGGCCACAGCCCGAGAAGTACAGGCGGCCTCTAGGAGCTGGAAAGGCTAAGGAATGGATTCTCCCCTGGAGCCTCCAGATAAAACGCAGGTCTGCTGACACTTTGATTTTAGCCCTGTGAAACCCATTTTGAACTTCTGACGTCCTGAACTGAAAGATAGAAAATCATACTGTTTTACGCCACCAAGTTTGTGGTAATTTGTTATAGTAACAATAGGAAATGAATACACCAAGCTAAAAATTCTGGGCTTTACCTTGGGGATGCTGGGGAACCATTAAAGAGTTTTGGGGCCTTGCGCGGTGGCTCAAGCCTGTAATCCCAGCACTTTGGGAGGCTGAGGCGGGTGGATCACGAGGTCAAGAGATCGAGACCATCCTGGTCAACATGGTGAAACCCTGTCTCTACTAAAAATACACAAAATTAGCTGGGCATGGTGGCACGTGCCTGTAATCCCAGCTACTCAGGAGGCTGAGGCAGGAGAATTGCCTGAACCCAGGAGGCGGAGGTTACGGTGAGCCGAGATCGCGCCATTGCACTCCAGCCTGGGTAACAAGAGCGAAACTCCATCTCAAAAAAAAAAAAAGAGTTTTGGGTGAGGAATATCATAATTATATCAGTGTTTTTAAAACATAGTCATCTTGAAAGAATAGGTTGTGCTTTTTTTTTTTTTTTTTTTTGATACATTGAGACAGAGTCTCACTCTGTTGCCCAGGCTGGATTGCAGTGGCATGATCTTGGCTCACTACAACCTCCGCCTCCCGGGATCAAACGATTCTTCTGTCTCAGTGTCCCAAGTAGCTGGGACTACAGGTGTGGACAACCACACTGGCTAATTTTTGTATTTTTAGTAGAGATGGGGTTTCACCATATTATTGGCCAGGCTGGTCTCAAACTCCTGACCCCAAATGATCTGCCTGCCTTGGCCTCCCAAAGCACTGGGATTACAGGCATGAGCCACCACACCCAGCCTAGGTTGTGCTTTCCTTCATTTCTTTGCAATAAGAGGTAAGAATCTGGAGCAGGATACAACTTTGGAGATCCCTGAAATGGCCTGAATGAGACAAACCACAGCATATATTTTTGCAACAGAAAGTTACATAACCGATTATGTTTCTCTTTTTTCCTTGGATGCAAAGAAGCACAGGACTCAAACTGCTCCTCTGATCTGTCCCTGTCTTCTAAATGTTTCCTCATCCCTCCTGTCTCTTTATTCTGCCTGCCCCATGTACGTGTACACACACACACACACACACACACACACACACACACACACGTATGTTTCTCCAAGGGGCCACAGAGGGGAGATTTGTATTAAAAATATACCAGCTGTCAGTTACACCCCAGCTACTTGGGAGGCTGAGGTAGGAGGATCACTTGAGTACAAGAATTCAAGGATAGCCTGAGCAACATAGTGAGAACCCATCTCAAAAAAAAAGTGGTAAACATTTTCTGGTTGCAACATTTGAGGATTGGATAAAATACATATAAGGCCAGGTGCGGTGGCTCATGCTTGTAGTCCCAGCATTTTAGGAGGCTGAGGTGAGCAGATCACTTGAGGCCAGGAGTTTGAGACCTGCCTGGTCAACATAGCAAAACGTCACTACTAAAAATACAAAAAATTAGCTGGATGTGATGCACACATGTAATCCAGGCTAAGGCACGAACATTGCTTGAACCCAGGAGGTGGAGGTTGCAGTGAGCTGAGATCGTGCCACTGCACTCTAACATGGGCAACAGAGCAAGACCTCAAAAAAAAGTCATAGATGTAGATGACAGTCAAGTGAAGCTACAGTGAATTGGATATCACTGTGCTCATGTAGCATAGTTGGGGGTTTAGTTTTTCGTCAGGCTGTCGCAGTGACAGCTAAACACTTTAGGAAATGCTTTTATGCCCCTGTGGACTTGAGCCATAGGGAGGCCCACAAAAGAAGGCAGGCTCCTGGAAGCATAACACTGGTCCCCTGGGCTCACCTCTTTATTTTGTTCTCCTTCCACTTTAGCGGGAACCACATCTTCAAGGGCCGTGCTGCCGGCATAGCAGTGAATGAGAATGGCAAAGGCCTCATCACAGGTATGAATGGGAACTGCCCAGCACCTGGCAGCCAGGCCAAGGTCCCCTGCCATCACCCCCCAGCTTCAGGACCTCACACTGCTCCTTTACCCCTACAGACTGTGGCCTCCTTCTCTCACTAGTGGACCAGAGCTCAGGGATACCAGCTACATGGTGGCTGTGCTTCTCACAGGAAGGTTCAGAACAGAGCGGGTGTCTGCTCCTTCCAGGCCCAGAGCAGATAGGTTCTCACCAGGTGGCTCACAGAACACTTTCAGAAGCACTGATGCCCAACCATCTGTCCGAATCCCTCCTCTTGGTCTTTGTATGGACCTCTGCCTGCTCTGGAAACCTCCACCCGGCTAACCCCTGCTCATCCTTTGGGTCTTAGCTTAAGTGTCTTCCCTGACTTCCCCATTGTACATAGATACACTTACCATACCCAGGATACCTCCTCTCTAGGGCCTTTGACTTAATTGCTGAGTGGTTTGTGGTGTCAGTCTCCTCTGTTATAAAGTGGTAAATTCTACAAGGCGAGAGTCAAGTCTGTCTGGTACATCTGTGTAGCCTTAGCGCAGAGCAGAGCCAGGCCTGGGATATGAAAGAGATTCCACAAATACTGGTCCAGCGAATCCCCCTGACTGAACTCTGATCAGACATGTTCCAGGAGCTGCAGGCTGTAAGCCAAGTTCCAGGAGCTGCAGGGGCAGCAGTGAACAAGGCTCTCAGCCACTGACATTTTAGGAGAGGAAGCGAATAAATAAAAGCCTACATATATGAGCAGAAAGCATCCTATCTGAGAATGACAAGTGCTCTGTGGATAATTAGGGCAATAGTTGGACTGGGTGGGCATTTAGGATTGTTGGTCAGGGCAGCCTTCTGAGAAGGTAACAAGGAAGCCAAGACCCCGAGTTGCTGGGAGGAGCTGGGAATGAACCTCCCATGTAGGGCCACCCATGGGAACAGACTTGGCATGGCTGAGTGGAGATTGCTTGTGGGACTGGAGCGTGGTGCGCAAGGGGCCTGCAGTGGGGTCATGGAAGCAGGAAGAGGCCAGTCACACAGAGTCTCCTGAGCCATTGCACCCCAGTCGCAGGAGACTGCCTCTTCCTTGCCACAGTGTTGGGGCAGCAGTGTCATGGACCACCCGTCTGACCCATGACTCTTTCACCTACCCTTGAGAGATGGTGGTGCCCAGGAGGAGGAGGGGGTGGGTCTGGTCAGAGTTCAGAGCTGAGGCTGAGAAGGACAGGCGAGGTTGGCACCTCTTCATGGGCTTTTGGGTAAATGGCTACATTCTGCCTCTGAGGACTCTAAAGCCAGTTTATTCTTTTTTTTCTTTTTTTTTTTTTTTTTTTTATTTTGAGACAGAGTTTCACTCTTGTTGCCCAGGCTGGAGTGCAATGGCACAATCTCAGCTCACCGTAACCTCTGCCTCCCGGGTTCAAGCGATTCTCCTGCCTCAACCTCCCGAGTAGCTGTGACTACAAGCATGCGCCACCACACCTGGCTAATTTTGTATTTTTAGTAGAGATGGGGTTTCTCCATGTTGGTGAGGCTGGTCTCAAACTCCTGACCTCAGGTGATCTACCTGCCTCAGCTTTCTGTTGTGCTGGGATTACGGGCATGAGCCACTGTGCCTGATCTATACTTTGTTTTGATTCCTTGTTTTTGTTTGTTTGGTTTTTTGGACACCAGTGTCACTCACCAAAGCTAGTTTATTCTCTTTTTTGAGGCAGGTTCTCAGTCTGTTGTCTAGGTTGGAGTGCAGTGACACAATCATAGCTCACTGCAGCCCTGACCTTCAGTGTTCAAGTGATCCTCCCACCTCAGCCTCCCACCCAGCTAATTTTTTTGTATTTTTTGTAGAGACAGGGTTTCACCATTTTGCCCAGGATGGTCTGGAACTCCTGAGCTCGAGCAGTCTACCTACCTTGGCCTCCCAAAGTGCTGGGATTACAGGCATGAGCCACTGCACTCAGCCAAAGCTAGTTCATTTTTAATCATCAGTCCTCAAGGCCATTGAGTATAGTAGGTGCCAGGGAGATAGGAGTGCACAAGATAGACACAAGCCTTGCCCTTGGAGAAAGGAGTTGGCAGATAAGTCCCTGAAATATTAGACAGCAGACGAGATTTAGAGTGCTAATTGCTAACAGGGTAAGGCCAGGGTCTCCTGGTCTGGAGTGACCTTGATCAAAGCTGTCCAAGTCCTCTATTTGCCAGCACTGGAGCTGGCCCTTGGGTACTGACCACCCTTTCTGCCTCTCTCCTTAGAAAATGTTATCCGTGAGAATCAATGGGGAGGCGTGGACATCCGCCGTGGAGGGATCCCCGTTCTCAGGAGTAACCTCATCTGCTTTGGCTATTCAGATGGTGTGGTCGTGGGAGACGAAGGCAAAGGCCTCATCGAAGGAAATACCATCTATGGTGAGGACCGTGTTCCCAGCTCAGCCAGGGAGGCAGGAAGCCCGGGTTCCATCTCCAGCTTGTGGGCCCTGAGAAGGTCACTGCCTTTCCCTGTGCCTCAAAGACCTCATCTGAACAGGCACTGTCAGGTCACAGTTACCCAGGCCCTCTCAGAATGAAGAGCCTCTTATAATAAATCACTTTGTAGTCCAGATTGACCCCATGGGGTTAGCAAAGCAGAAAGCTTTATCCCCATTTAAAATAGCAAAAGACAGGAGTTGTATCATGTCTAAGGACAGGACCATTTAATAACCCCTGGCACATATGTGTCTAACTCCTCTCATCCTTTCTTTTGATCCAGAGAACTGAAAATATAATGGGAAAACAAGATAATCACAGGAAGAAAACTATTCTCACTCACTCTGTGACTTTGGGCAGAGCCTTAATCTGTGTGGACTCTCTCTCTAATAATACAGTTATAATAATAAACATGACTCGGGCCCACCTCTCTGCTCGGCCCTTTCTACGCATGATCAAATTTAATCCTCATGACTGCCTTCTGAAGGAGGTACAGTTATTAACCCCATTTGAAAGATGAGAAAACTGAGGGACAGAGAGAGGTTTGGTAACTTGCTCAAGGTCACACAGCTGGGAAGTAGAAGGGCTGGGATTCAAACCAAGGCTGCCTCCTCCTATGTAGGGAGGGATTGGTGCCCCCTTGGCACTGTCACTGTGGGTTCATGTGCTTCTGATGTGGACATGTGGCCCTGACAGTCCTTAGGGCACTTTTACACTGTGTGGAATGGGCCAAGCTTCTGAGGTTCACCTGATCCTACTGACCTCTCTTGTATGAAGGAGAAGTCTACAGCTACAGCCATAAAGTGATTTGTTTGAGGTCATTAGCAAATCAGGGACTCTCCCAGGCCAGTGGTCATTAGCAAATCAGGGACTCTCTCCCAGGCCAGTGATCATTAGCAAATCAGGGACTCTCTCCCAGGCCAGTGGTCATTAGCAAATCAGGGACTCTCTCCCAGGCCAGTGGTCATTAGCAAATCAGGGACTCTCTCCTGGGCCAGTGGCTTTTGCTTCCCCTATCAGGGAGATTCAGGTGCCACTTCACCTGAGTTCAGTGTTGGTGACCAGCTCCTCTCACTGTCCAGCAAACAAGGGCTGTGGTGTGTGGATGATGTCGTCCAGCCTCCCCCACGTCACCAGCAACCACGTCAGCTACAATGGCCTGTATGGAGTGGCAGTGTTTAGCCAGAAGGATGGCTCCAGCGAGTTACCTCGAGGCCATAGGGCTCAAGAGAACTTCAGTGAGGATGGGGACGCCATCCTCTGGGAGACAGAGCTAGAGAAGGAGGACGACCCACTGCGCCGGCCCATCACCATAGCTCTTGTTGAGTCTAACAGTATTAATCACAATGGAGGTGAGTGTACCCCTCAGCCCCTGCTCAAGAACCTCCCATGGCTCCTCACTGTCTTAAGGACCTTCTGCAGACTGATCCCAACTTGCCCTCAGGCCTCATCAGCCACTGCTTCCTGCCTGATATCCAAGCCCCCTTCATTTACTCACTAAACTTGAATCCATTATTTCCTGCCTCCTAACCTGCTGACTTCGTTCACACATTTCTCTCACCTGAAATTCCCTTTTTCCCATCCACACGTCTCAAACCAAATTGAACTTCAAAACTTGCTGCAAATGTACGACTTCATTATTTCCTCCTTTGAACTGGACCCTCCCCATCCCCAGTGGCACTTGTTATGGCTGTTTGATCAACACAGATAAGCCATGAACTTGAGACAGAACTGAAGCCCACCTATCTCAGTGGCCCTGTCCCTGCAGTACCAAATCCCACTTCTGGCACACACACTTTTAATCAATTCTACGATAAATTTTTCACAATTTAACATCTCTCATGAGATGCATATCATGGTTTAATTGACAGTGATTTTTCTTTGTTAGAGAGGCAGTAAATGAAAGTGTTTTCAATCTACGTTATCTTAAACCTGATGAGAAATGGAGGCTGGGTGCCGGAGATCACCCCTGTAATCCCAGGACTTTGAGAGTCCAAGGGCAGGGGTGGGGGAGTGGGAGCGGCAGGTATTGCTTGAGGCCAGGTGTTCGAGACCAGCCTGGACAACATAACAAGACCTGGTCTCTGCAAAAAAATAAGTAAATAAATAAAAATAATGAAAAATTAGCTGGATTTGGTGGTCCCAGCTACTCAGGAGGCGGGAAGATTGCTTGAGCCCAAGAGTTCAAGGCTGCAGTGAGGTACAACCACTGCATTCCAGCCTGGCGACAGGACCGAGACCCTGTCTTAAAAGAAAAAAAAGATGGTAGAAGATGTTTGATATTTCTTGAATTAAAAAAAACAAAATTACTATGTAGTTTATCTAATGCCAGAGCTCCCAGAGCTGGCCGATTATCAAAATCACTGTGGGGTGGGGGTAGAGGGTAGGGTGGAGGGGTGGGTGGGGAATAGAGGAAGGCTTATTAAGAACAGATTCCAGCCAGGCGTGGTGGCTCACTCCTGTAATCCCAGCACTTTGGGAGGCCAAGGTGGGCGGATCACCTGAGGTCGGGAGTTCGAGACCAGCCTGACCAACATGGAGAAACCCCATCTCTATTAAAAAAAAAAAAAGATTTAAAAATTAAAAGAAAAAGATTCTTGGGCCAGGTGCAGTGGCTCACACCTATAATCCTAACAATTTGAGAGGCCAAGGCAGGAGGATCATTTGAGTTCAGGAGTTCAAGAGCAGCCTAGGTATCATAGAGATACCCTCCCCCCATCTCTACTGAGAAAAAAATTTTTTTCAAATTAGCTGGGCATGGGGATAAGTGCCTGTAGTTTCAGCTACTGAGGAGGCTGAAGTAGGAGGATACTTGAGAAGAGTTTGAGGTTGCAGTGAGCTATGATGGTGTCACTGCATTATAGCCCAGGTGATAGAGCAAGACCCTGTCTCTAAAACAAAATAAAATAAGATTCTTGGACTGGTAAGTGCTTGCCTCTGGTAGTGGTAGAGGGCAGGGAGATGGATAATGCCCAGCCCCAACCCACTTACTTGGAAAATGAGTTCTGTCCCCTCCCAAGTCAGGGTTTCCTCCATGTGGCCATGCTGTCTGTCCGGTATGACAGGCAAAGCCACCTAAATTCACAAATAGATATTTTTGTTGTTCTCAACCAAACCAGGAGAAGCAACAGGCTGGTGCCACCAAGATACTGGAGCTTGCAGGCTCATGGCTTGCAGACACTGCTGCAGGGTCCCAGCCACTGTCCTCCACACGACCTCCCCCAGCACTGCCCCAGCCCCAGCCCCAGCCCCCGTTGTTCTTGTGGTGGGCAGAGGGACCTTCTGCAGAGCCCTCCCCTCCTCACCCCCAGGTCTGGCTGCCCTGCTTTCTTTTCCTGACAAGCCACGGGGCTGTAATCCTGCTGATTCAGGGCTTTTTTCCTTATGCACCTGGTGTCTCTAAATATACACAACCCCAGGCATCGACTTTCCTTTTCCAAATTTCTAACACGTTACTTCACTTCATAAGTTTTTCTGCTCCAAAATTACCCAATTTTCATTAAGAAGAAAATTTCCTAAATAGTAGGGAGGCAGATTCCAGCTCAGTGTAGGAAGGAGAACAAAGCAAAACCTTCTAACCTTGCTCATTCCCCCTCTGGACGGGTAAATCTGCCTGTCCAGAGGGGGAATGAGCAAACTTGAATCAGTAGTGAGCCAGGTCAGTGGAGCCAGGCACATGGCAGTAGGATGGCGGAGATGTAGGAGGCATTCAGGCACACTGGGAGCTCAGGCCAGAGAAGAGTCTTCTCAGCATGTCTCCCTGGCTATACTGAGCAAGGACTTCGTTCAGAAGAAACAGTGTTTTTTTGACGCACGTGGATTTCCTCCTGCTGTTTCATCAGCTTAAAAGATGCAAACTCAAGGGTTGGTTCTGAGTGTTGCTACCTCTTCTCCACTCCATTCTCTTGGAGTGCACAATTCAGGGAAGGCTCTTCCTGACTGGTGGTGTCAGGGCTGACCCTGGGACCCCTTGTGTTTTCCAACCCCTCCACCCATAGCCTCAGGACTCTATGTCCAGAGCAGCGAGGCACTGCATGTTATCACTAATGTGATCCACGCAAATGGGGACAGAGGCATCACTGTGGCCCAGAGCAGCCAACTCACCCGCGTGGCTAACAACAGCATCTCCTGCAACCAGCAAAGTGGGGTCAAGGTTGAGGCCCAGTGCAAAGTGGAGCTCCGGGGCAATGGTATCTATGACAACAGAGGCCAAGGCATTATCACCAAGGGCGACAGCACCATCGTCATTGAAAACGACATCATCGGCAACCGAGGCAGTGGGCTGCAGCTGCTCCCCAGGTCTGACACTAAAGTGAGTATTTGTGCATGTGTGTGACGTGTGGTACTCACACAGGGCACAGCCCTGTGACAGTCCTCATGCCCCCCTGCTGAGAACAGACCCATAAGCACTCAGCACTGCAAGGGACAGTATCCCTCCTCCCAGGACTCAGCCTGGGAAATGTGGGTGGGACTTCCCCCAGGAGGGGGCAGAGAAACTGGGTCCTGAAGGATGAACAAGGGCTCACCAGCAGGAAGCCAGGGGTGAGGGGCCATTTCCTTGTCATGGCGTTGGGAGCCTCCCAGGGTATAGTCATGGCCTCCATATCAAGGGCAGGGCTATTTCAGCTCTCTTTCCATAACAGAATAACTTTGCACAGTGTCTGGTGTACAGTAGATGCTTCATGAGGAGAGAGATCCTGCCTTGGGGCCTTTGCATACGCTCTTCCCTGTACACCCCGCGTACCCCCTGCGACTTTTACACTGCAGTCCTGCAGCTTAGCTGCATCTTCAGGAAGAGTCCCTGACTCCGCACCTCCCACCCCAGGCTGTTTGAGGTACCCCTTGTCTGGTGCCTTTGCCCACCCCTGTCCAAAAGAGCACTCTCTCAGTTTGGTATCTCTTCTTTTACCCATCTGTCTCCCCACCGGACTGTGAGCTCTGAGCACCTTTCTGTGCAGAGCCCTGTTTCAATGTGAAGCCAAGCAGACCTGGTCCCTGCCCTTGTGGAATTACAATCCCAAAGGCTCTATCTTTATTTTTAGTTCAACAGTTTTAGGGGTACGGGTGGTTTTTGGTTATATGGGTACATTCTTCAGTGGTGATTTCTGAGATTTTGGTGCACCTATCACCCAAGCAGTGTACACTGGACTCAATATATAGTCTTTTATCCCTCACCCCCCTCCCACCCTTTCCCCCCAAGTCACCAGAGTCCTATAGATCATTCCTATGCCTTTGCATCCTCATAGTGCAGCTCCCACTTCTAAGTAGTGAGCAAATAAGGAGAACATAGGATACTAGGTTTTCCATTCCTGAGTTACTTCTTAGAATAATGGCCTCCAAGTCCATCCAACTTGCTGCAAAGACCATTATTTCATTCTGTTTTATGGCTGAGTAGTATTCCCTGGTGTATATATACCACATTTCTTTTTTTTCTTTCTTTTTTTTTTTTTTTTTTTGAGATGGAGTTTCACTCTTGTTGCCTGGGCTGGAGTGCAATGACATGATCTCGGCTCACTGCGACCCCCGCCTCCCGGGTTCAAGAGATTTTCCTGCCTCAGCCTCCCAAGTAGCTGGGATTACAGGCATGTGCCACCACACCTGGCTAATTTTGTATTTTTAGCAGAGACCGGTTTCACCATGTTGATCAAGCTGGTCTCAAACTCCTGACTTCATTTGATCCACCCGCCTTGGCCTCCCAAAGTGCTGGGATTATAGGCGTGAGCCACTGTGCCCAGCCTGTACCACATTTCTTTATCCACTCTTGGGCTGATGGGCAGTTAGGTTGTTTGCACATTTTTGCAGTTGTAAATTGTGCTGCTATAACCATGTGTGTGCATATGACTTTTTCTCCTTTGGGTAGACAGCCAGTAGTGGGATTGTTGGGTCACCTAAAGCCTTTTTACAGTTCTGCAGCTTCATGGGTTAGTGTCTTACGACAAGGAGTAAAGAGTGCCTGGGCTTTGCCTCTGAGCACTGTGGGGGCAGAGGAAAGGAGAGAGGCGCACACTTTTGCCTCAGCTGAGTTGCCAGTGGCCCTGACTTCAGACACTACCTCCCCTCTCCGCCAGGCCTTTGCATATTGTTTCTTCTTCCTGAAACAGCTCTTCCTGTTCTGCATCTGATAAATGCCTACAACTTACCTATCACCTCTTCCAGGAAGCCTTCCCTGGCTCCTGCAGGCTGTTCTCGGTGCCCTTCTTTGAGCTCATGAGGCTCTTCACTGGCCTGCTTAGCACATTCCTGCCCCCTCAATTTTAGAACTGATAATTCACTTGTTCAGCTCTCTGAGTCTGTGAGTCCCTGAGGTGTGACAATCTCTGGCTACCTCTCCCAGGTAATAAAGAACCGGATCCATTCCTTCCGGGCCTACGGCATCACAGTGCAGGGCCGCGCCAAGGCCCTGGTGCAGGAGAACATCATCTTCCAGGGCAAAACCAACAAGACCATCTTTCAGCAGATCTCAAACAACCGAGAATGCGTCATGCAAAACAACAAGTTCCTGGTTTTCAAGAAAAAGTAAGTGCCTGGGGTTGCCTGAACCAGTCTTCTAGAACCACAGTAAGCTCCCTGAAGAAGCCAGGCCTGCACCCAGTGATTGTGGTTGCCCAGGCTCCCTGCAACCCTGCCAGCTGTTGACTCCAGTCAGAAAAATGCCTGTGCCTGGCTCTGTCAGGCCGGGGCTGAGGACTCCCTGGGAGGGAACAAGCTTTTTCAGAGTCAGGGATACAGTTTCAGATCTCAGCTCTGCAGGTTCCTTGCTGCTGCTGTACTTTAGTCGCTCTGCCTCAGTGTATCACAGTTGCCACCACCCATCTTCCCCAAACCTCTCTGACCTTCCATGGTCCCCATTTCAGCGACATTGCCATCCACTCAGTGTTATCACTACAAAACTTCTGCTCCCTTTTTCTCTCTAATACCAAGATGTCCAGTCTTGGAACCAGGTCTTGTTGATTCTGCTTCTAAAATGTTCCCGTATCAGGCACCTCCTCATTCCCAACTGCTGCCACCCTAATTCAGGTCTCAGCACCTCTCACCCTACCCCGTGCCACCTGCATTACTGCGATGCACAGCTTTTCCAGCTGTTTCTGCATGGACCGTGTTCTGATTGGTCTGTGCTTTACCAGCCTGGTTGTAAAATCATACTGACATTTGCTGTATCACTCCTGCACTGGCAATGTCACCTGTCCCTCTGCAGCAGCCTCCTGCCAGTCTCCCTGCCCTTGGCCACCCCCTGCCCCACTCTGTAGGTTGTCCTGTGTATCCCGCCAGGTTCATCTTTCTAAGTCCCACTTCCGCGGTTAAAAACCTCTGATGGATCTTCATCTTCTGTAATAATGATCCCCGTACTTTTTGTGTTATACACACTCTTGGGAAAAATATTTTGTTAAGAAACCCCCAATGTAGATATACCTATTTATTTATGTATTTATTTAGAGACGAAGTCTCTCTGTAGCCCAGGCTGCAGTGCAGTGGTGCGACTCCCAGCTAATTTTTGTATTTTTAGTAGAGATGGGGTTTTGCCATGTTGGCCAGGCTGGTCTCAAACTCCTGACCTTAGGTGATCCACCTGCCTCAGCCCCGTAAAGTGCTGACATTACAGGTGTGAGTCACCACACCTAGCCAGTATACCTATTTATAACTTATGTGTGTCTACTGTAGCAGTATATTATTTACATAATAAATTATACCCAAAATAGAAAATTTTCAAGTATAAAGTTAAAAACAAATCAAAATTCTAATATTTTCTTCCCACATCCCAGCAGATTATATTGTAGATTCCCTGGGATCCACCTTTCTCTCCTTTGGAGACCTCAGGGTACAGGATACAGCCCGGACTTGGCCAATGCCAGCTCTGGTATTGTCTGATGTGCACCCTGAGGTCCTAATTGTCTTTTCTAGCCTCTCATGTCATTACTCCTTCTCAGTAGTGCTCCCCTGCTGCCAAAGTCAAACACATACAGTTCTCCCAACACAGGTGAGGCCTTTTTACTCACCTTTAGTAGCCAACCTCTGATTCTGTCCACACCTTTCCAATCCTTTCATTGTAACATGATTATCATAAAAATACATCTAAGACAATGGCCTTAAACAAATAGAAATTTGGTGTGTGTAAAGTTGGTTCCTTATAACTCAAGCATCAGAAAACTCTAACCACAGCTTCACTATCATTTGATTTTTCCCCGCCCCTCCATACTCTCTATAAGGGTTTGGATGACTGGAAACCCACCAACTTCCATCCCCAGTAGATTTGGATTTTCCCAAATGTCATATGAAGGAAATCCTGGGCCAGGCGCAGTGGCTCACACCTGTAATCCCAGCACTTTGGGAGGCCGAGGTGGGCAGATCACGAGGTCAGGAGATCGAGACCATCCTGGCCAACATGGTGAAACCCGTCTCTAAATAAATAAATGAAAGCAAGCCTGGCCAGGTGTGGTGGCTTATGCCTGCAATCCCAGCACTTTGGGAGGCCAAGGCAGCTGGATCACCTGAGGTAAGGAGTTCAAGACCCACCTGGCCAAGATGGCAAAACTCCATCTCTACTAAAAATATAAAAATTAGGCATGTGGTGACAGGCACCTGTGGTCCCAGCTACTTAGGATGCTGAGGCAGGAAGATTGCTTGAACCTGGGAGGAAGAGGTTGCAGTAAGCCCAGATCACACCATTGCACTCCAGTCCATCTCAAAAAGTAATAATTAAAAAAAATCCTGTAGTATGTAGTCTTTTGAGTCTGGCTCCGTTCACTTAGTCTAACACAGTGGAGACTGATTCATGGTGTTGTGTGTAAGGCATTCATTCCTTTCGATCGCTGGGTAGTCTTCTGCTGTATGGGTATACTGCAGTTTATTCACTCATCAACTGAGGGCTATTTAGGTAGTTTCTAGTTTTTTGGAGAGTATTAGTAAAGCTTCTATAAACATTTGTGGTCATAGAGCTGAAAAGAAATGAAAATGAAAGAAGAAAGGCTGGGCACCGTGGCACACACCTGTAATCCCAGCTACTTGGGAGGCTGAGGCAGGAGGATCACTGAAACCCAGGAGTTTCAGATCAGCTTGGGCAACGTAATGAGACCCTGTCTCACAACCACCACCCTATGATCTTATCCATTCTAAAATGGGGAAATTGGCTGGGTGGTTGAGGAGGTTGAGGCTGCAATGAGCCATGATTGTGTCACTGCACCCCAGCCTGGGCAACAGAGTGAGACCCTGTCTCAAAGTGGGAAAATTGAGGCCCATAGACCTTATCCAAGGTTACGTGCAGAGTTGAAGGCAGAGCTGGACATGGAATGCAGGACTTTTGCCCCTTAGTTTCTCAGTATCCCACCTCTTTGGGCTCACACTAAACTGGAAGACAGAACCTACATCCAGATTTCAATACCTAGATCCACCAATCTGGAACTAAAGTTAAGACTGTGCTGTGCCCTGCAGCGCTGCAGACCTTTCAGAAGTTCACTGACTTTGGTTTTGCACCTCCAGGTCTGATACGTGGCGCCTGGTGAACCCACCAGCACGGCCCCACCTCGAAAACTCTCTCAGACGCCCCTCAGCAGCCCACAATGGGCAAAAGGTGACAGCCATGGCAACGAGGATCACAGCCCGCGTGGAAGGTGGTTATCACAGCAACCGCAGTGTCTTCTGCACCATCCTGTGAGGACAGACCTGTGTGCTCCCCGTAGGTAGGGCCACATCTGTGTGTCCCCAGATCCCAGCCTGGGGCTGGGGGGGATTAGTGGCCTGAGGAGAGGAAGGCCAGCTCCCAAAGGACTTTACTGAACCATACTGTGAATGTGTCAAAGTCCCAAAGCCAGGTGAGCTCAGACCCCACAGCTTGAGGAAGGGGGCTGGATGCAGGGCCAGCTCAGCCTGAACAATCCCCTCCCACTCGGCCTTTCCTATGGGGCCCTCACCAGCCTGCAGGGGTCGCTGTCGTGCACTTGGCTGCATGGCTGGTTCTATCGGGCCCTAGGTGCTGCTGTGTTGGGTGTGATGGGAGGGGGTGGAGGGAGCCATGAGCACTGGCTTCTCCCTGAGGACATTGGGCACAAGAGTGCTGGCCTCTTCTATCCCTGGCACTGTCCTTTGCACTTGTTTAGTGGCCCCAATGTGAGTCGCTGTACAAAATGCTGCCTTTACTATTTTCTAAGAAATGACTTTTCTGTGAACCAAAAGTAACAAAAACCTCAATAACCAAAATAAAGTTCTATATTATTTTAAGAGGCATTTCTGGAAGGCTTTCCTTGGTTTGGGCATATACTGGGGCTTATAGGTGGGAGAGTTGTGTCCAGTCATTCCCAGAAATTAAGCCTCAAAGTGTCAAACCCATCTGAAATTTAAAAGTAATCACACATTCTACCCTGAAGATGCATTAGAAGTCCTTTTCTGAGAGATTTTTTCCAAGGAGTTGTCACATACTTGATTTTCATGGCTTAAAGAGGCAAGTCGATTCCCTGCCCATACCTCTGCTGGAGGAAGACAAAGTATGCTCCAAGTAGCACCTGCCTCAAAGCTCAGGCAAGACTCCTTTCTATCGTGACTCCCTAATGGAGGCCCCTAGGTGCTGGGTAAATTTCTCTCAGAAGAGCTGAGCTCGCTCTCCCTCCCTCCCTCCCTTCACTGACCCAGCCTTCCAGGCGCTGAGTAGCACAAATCTCAGCTGCTCCCGCTTAAAACAGGACCCTGGAGATCTGAGGATGGGCCCAGGCCATGTACATAAGACTTCCTGTGTCACACTCCTGCTGACCCCTGCCTTCTATGTGGCTTCAGCCAGGCAGAGAAGTTGGGTCACCACTTCCTCTGACTTGGCTCCACCCCGTTACAACAGGCTGTACTCTACTGGTGTGTAAGAACCCCATCACAATGGTGACCCAGTTAGCTTCTGATAAAGCCTGAAGCATCATTTTCCAGGTATGCTGAACCTGATCCTCCTTCCTTACCACGTACTCCACTGGCCCTTCCAGACCTAAGCACACCACTTCACATTTCTCCTTGGAAACCTTCATCCATTAGATTTGACTCAGCCTGGGATGGGCACAGTGGCTCACGCCTATAATCCCAGCACTTTGGGAGGCTGAGGTGGGTGGATCACGAAGTCAGGAGTTCGAGACCAGCCTGACCAACATGGTGAAACCCCGTCTCTACTAAAAATACAAAAATTAGTTGGGTGTGGTGGCACCCACCTGTAATCCCAGCTACTTAGGAGGCTGCGGCAGGAGAATCACTTGAACCCAGGAGGCGGAGGTTCAAATGACTGATCATGCCACTGCGCCACTGCACTTCAGCCTGGGCAACAGAGTAAGACTCCATCTTGGGGGGCGGGAAAGAGATTTGACTCAGCCTGGTGAAATCTTTGAGCCTGAGCCAGGCCCCACCCTCCCAAATCCCCACACAGGTGAACCAACATGGGAAACTTGTCATTTATAATCACAGCAATAACACCAAAGGAGAGAGATGAAGTCCAACCTGGCCATCACTTTATACCTCTGCATAGGACAGCACAGTGGAGATGCTGGCTTCTGGCTTTATACCTGTGCCGAAGCAACGCTTCTTTTTTTCCTTATTTTACTTTTTAGAGACAAGGTCTCTCTCTGTTCGCCCAGGCTGGAGTGTGGCCACGCAATCATAGCTCACTGCAACCTTGATTTCCCAAGCTCAAGTAATTGTCCTGCCTCAGCTGGGATTACAGGCACACACCACCAGGCCTGACTTTTTATTTTTTTATTTTTTGCAGTAGAGACAAGGTCTCTCTATGTTTCCCAAACTGGTTTCGAACTCCTGAGCTCAAGTGATCTTCCCACCTCAGCCTCCCAAAATGCTGGGATTTCAGGTGTGAGCCACCATGCCCGGACCTTTCCTTTTTAAAAAATAAAAATGGAAATGAATAGGACCAGCCTGTGGCTATGATGCAGCCAAAATCTGTCTGGAAAGCGGGCATCTAGGTAATCTTCCTCCGCTTTGACAGGCGGCCTGAGGTCTGGGCGGGAGGCAGCGGGAGGGACAGGGTGCCCAGTTTGTGATCTTCTTCACCACCGGCGGCCACAGACACCCTTCTTTTGGAGATCTTCAGCCTCATGGCTTTGGCTATCTCCATCATCCTAAGGAAGACACAGAACAATCAGACTCCTCAATGTGACTGTTCAGGGAGGTGTGGCAAAAGGTAGCAGCACATTCATGCTCGAGGCCATAAAGACAGAATCCCAAAGGTTGCCAGCAGGAGCAAAGCCCCAGGCAGAGGGGCAGGCAAGGTCCCCTCACCCACTGGGAGCCATCAGACAGACAATTTTATTTTAATGTGCTGCCCTTCGAAAGATCCATGTGGGTGATGAAAAACCAGAGTATCTTAGAGCCCTATGGACAACTTTCTTTACCACCCATAACCAAATTTTTTAGCAATCAGCATTGAGCACTTGCTAGAATCTGACAGGTTCCAAGTACCTGTTCTCTTTTCTCAGCCTCAGTGCCTGTGGGAACACAGTCTATGGACAGCCCTCAGAACAGTCCCTCCATGGACTGCTAGGAGAGTCCAGACAGAAGTGTGTTCACTGGCTCTCCTAGACACAATCTGGGTCCCTGGATATCACATGCCCCTATATCACTGACAAAGATCAGCTGACCCCACAGTTTAGGTTCCCTGGCAGCTCTGCCCCTAGTGTCTGAATCTCCTCTACAAGGTTAGAGGGAGCCTGAAAGGTCACCCCCACCACCAGCTCTCCCAGTCGGGTCAGAGAAGTACAAACATGACATCCCTGCCAAACTGTGGTTCCACCTGTCCCTGAACACCTCCCCTGGGCAAGCCCTTCCATCCGATTCTGAGGAAGCTCTTCTTAACTAAGTGGAAGTTGGGTTCTCCTACAACTTCCACCCTGGGCTGCACCCTCAGAACCATATAAAATCCCTCTCCCCAGTGACAGAAATTCAGAGAATGGAAGCTGCTTGGTTATTCAGGGAACAGAATGTTATGAAAAGGCTCATATCTGAAGTCCAACTGCTCCCCTCTTGGTTGTGTAACTTTGAGAAAGTCATGTACTTTTCTAAACCTGATTCTTCAATTGTTTTCTAGGGAAATCAATGAGATAATGACATAATTTAAGACTGTGCCTTGCAAAGAGAAGGCACTCAGTAATGTCTAGTTGCTCATTCAGTCAATGATTGATTCATTGAAAATAGACCTCTAGTTCCAAGTTGTTCCCACATGTAAAAATCCTCAGTTCCCTTAGTGGCACCTCATGCTTTCCAGTGGTACCAGAAGTAAGACATCAAGGCGCCCTGCAGGGAGCTCTTTATTCTGTCGTGCTCACCTTTTCTCACTGAGCTTCAAGTCCCTCTGTAACATTGTCAGGTCAATTTGGAAGTCATTTATGTGCAAGGCAAGTATGATCACATATGCAGTAATCTTCGCCTTCATAGAATCCGAAATTAAGTTCCGTAAACTAGAAAATCAGTGGCAATGAAGAAACAAAATTAAAGTCTAAGACAATTTCTCCAAAAGCAAAATAAGAACATCCAAGCATATTCCCATATGCACTCAGGAACTAAAGGAAAGGAAAAGGAATGTGGATGGCTTCTTTGCCCTCCCAAGGTTCCTGGGCCTCACACACAGTGGAGCAGTGTGCTGGTCCACATTTCCCTCTGAGGGGGAGAGAGAAAGCTGAGCATACACGCTCCCTGGGCACCACTAGCACTTCGAGCTGGTGAGGGCCCTCTGAGTCTGTCCCCGCCTGCACAGCAAGGCTGCTGGGAAAACAGTCATTCCCAAATCAACTGTGCTGATTCTTCTAAGCACACCCAGGAGCAGGAAACACATTCCATGGAGATGGCAGGAAGGAAAGCCCAGGGGCACTGCTTGTGGGTCTTTCCCCAAAGTCCCCAAGTTGGCCTGCCCTTTTATGCAACACTGCCTTTCCGCAGAACACCAGCTCTGTGGGACATCAGGAAGGGCTCCTCAAAAGAAGTATGTGAAGTAAAACAAGTCTCTATTGTAGGACTTCCCAGAGCTTCTAAGATTCCAAAAAGACAATACCTTTCCAAAAAGGACAGAGTAATATTTAGCGTTTGCTAGACTTACTGGGGCCCCAGGAGACTTCCAAATGGCAGTAGTCTCTTTAGCACTGCATATCTGTGGACATGAAATTGAGTCCAAGCCCCCAGCTCCTCACTCCCCCCACCTGCTTTCCCTTGCACAGGAAAAATCCCAGAAACCAGCCCCTGACCTGCCATTGTTGTACGTCAAGCAGGTAAAGTGCTTCAGCAGTTTGGTGTTGATGATGTGGGGAATGTCAGGTCCCAGAGCATCTACAATGCAAAGTTAAGTTTGATCATTTTCTCTTAAAACTCTCAGGCCACACCTCAACCATGAGCTGAGAGAAAAGCTCAACAGCTGGGCCTCTGTAATGACCAGAACCAGGTGGTAAGAGAAGTAGGACCCACAAAGAAGAACAGCCATGGCAAAATAAAAACATGCTTGGTGTGCCTCTGCTGGCAGACCTCCCTGCAAGAGTGATGCTGGTGAGGGGCCAGTGACAAGAAAGACCACAGCCCGAGGCCTAAGGACACAGAATTTTTTTTTTTGAGACAGACTTTTGCTCTTGTTGCCCAGGATGGAGTGCAATGGCACAATCTCAGCTCACTGCAACCTCTGCCTCCTGGCTTCAAGCAGTTCTCCTGCCTCAGCCTCCCAAGTAGCTGGGATTACAGGCATGCCCCGCCACGGCCGGCTAATTTTGTATTTTTAGTCGAGACGGGGTTTCTCCTTGTTGGTCAGGCTGGCCTTGAACTCCTGACCTCAGGTGATCCACCCACCTCAGCCTCTCAAAGTGCTGCGATTATAAGCGTGAACACAGGCGTCCCAGCAGGACACAGATTTAACGTGACGTTAGAAAACAAAATTTTGCTAAAAGCTCAGAGAGACAGAGAGGGAAAGGTGGAATTGGAATGTGAAAATAAGAACTAAGTGGCCGGTCGATGTGGCTCACACCTGTAATCCCAGCATTTTGGGAGGCCAAGGTGGACAGATCACCTGAGGTCAGGAGATTGAGACCAGCCTGGGCAACACAGTGAAACCCCACCTCTACTAAAAATACAAAAATTAGCCAGGTGTTGTGGTGTGCACCTGTAATCCCAGCTACTTAGGAGGCTGAGGCAGGAGAATCACTTGAACTCGGGAGGTGGAGGTTGCAGTGAGCTGAGATTGTGACACTGTACTCCAGCCTGGGCAATAGAGTGAG